GACACGAAACCCTTCAACTTCAGAGCTCTGGAGCTGGAGGCAACTTCAGGCTTTCCCTAAGCTTTGGGGAAGGTTCCAGGGGAACCGCGAATCTGAAGGGGGAGGGGCGGAGGGTTTGGCTTCCTGGACCCGTCTAGAGGAGCCAGAGGCTCAGAGGCTCCTGCACAGAGGCCACACTCTCATCTTCAGACCTTGCAGGTTTCTGATTGGAGCTGGTTTTCCAGTGATCAGCCAGGAGGTATGGACTGCAAGAGGAACAGGCCAAAAGCCAGTGAGGGTCTGGCAGGGGAGAGGCAGAGGGAGGGGGCAGAGGGAGGGGCAGGGGAGGGGCAGAGGGAGGGGCAGGAGCCTCAAGGAGGACAGCCGCTAGCTGCTGCTGCTGGGCACCCCCACGTGCACGTGGGGCTCGAAGCTCCAGGCCTTGGAGTGCTTTGTCCTAACACAGCAGACAGTGTTGGGGTGCCCCCATCTGCTCCCCCTCTCCTCAAGGAGACCAGGCGGGGAGGGGCAGGAAAACAGCCACAGGGAAGCTCCGAGTCCAGCTCAGCCCAGAGTGCAGTGTGTGGGGTCACCTCCTGTCGCCAGGTCCTCAGACCAGAGAGACAGGCACCAGCTCTTGGAGGGGCCACAGGTGCATTCCCCCGACCCCACCTACCATACGGGTGACCCAGCCTCACTGCAAAGGCTTCCCATCCTCTAACCTGGACAAGGGCGGCCAGCCCAGACTTCTGCTGATCAAAGGAAGCAGCAGAGCAGAGCAGAGCAGGCTGCAAAGAGCTTCACCTTGAAGCTGACTGCCACGTCCCAGGCAGCCCCAGACCATGCCCTCCAAGCCCTGCTGTCTGCAGGCGCCTGCTCACATCCCTGCTTCCCCCAGCCAGCAGGACAAGGCCCTCATCGATAGGGACGCTAAAGTCAGTGACATTCACAACAAGGCACCTGTGGACAGCATTGACAACAATCACGCAGTCTGTTTGGAAACTTACTTTTGGAGCCCCTGAAAGACAATCTCTGAGACCAAACAGAAAAGGAAAGCTGTCCCCCGTGGCATCGGGGAAGGGCACATACACTCACGGCGGTTCCTCGGAGCAAAAGCAGAATCATTTCTGAGGAAGAAATGGCGCCCTGCAGACCTGTGGCCCAACGGCTGGGAACCGGGGACCCTGGTGCGTCCTGCGTCTTCCGAGCAGCGCTGGGCTCGGCGCCCAGCAGTCCCCCAGTCCCGCCCTCGGCACAGGCAGCAGCGGGTCCTGAGCCAGCGGTACCTGCCCTCCAGAACCTGGGGTCCTCCAAGGAAAATGGGGGTGCGGAATGGAAGCCCCCACGCCCTGGTCGGACAGGTACTGTCCGACTCCGCCCCATCGGACGATGCTGAGTGGTCCCTCCTTCTCTGCCCCTCACTGAGGAGCCACCCACTCCTTCAGGAACAAATGCGCTTCTTCCTCTCAGCTATGTCCTCACTTGCTCGTTCACTCCTCCTTTCTGTCACATGTGTGTCCCCACTGTCTAGACAGGCAAAGACACCACAGCAGGAGGGGGTGGCCTTGGTCAGAGCCACGTGGCCACCGTGGTGGCTAGGCCTTGAGGCATCAACTATGTCCTCAAACCCTCCATGTGTCCTGTGTGGAGTGGCCCCAGGGAAGGGGTGCAGGAGCCTTGCCCACCCTCACAAGAGTCCCCGTCTAGACCCTGCACCCAACTAGCACGGGCGGCCTGGCGGCTCCTGCCCTGGTAACCAGGTGAGTGTGGCACTGCCAGGAGGGAAGCAGGGGCACCTGCAGCTTCTCAGGCTCCTGCGGCCCCTCCCCAGGGCAACCCCGGTGTTTGCTTCTGATGCCCTCGGCGGCATGTGCCAAGCTGTGCCCCGGCTGAGGGCAGCCCTCATCCTGGGCTATCCTAGAGAGGTGCCAGATCTCTGTGGTCAGGAGTCTGATGACGAGAGGGCAGGGCCAGGCAGAGATAGCTCGTGTCTCAGGAACGCTGAGGTCCTGGCTGCCAGCCCTTGGGGGCTACCATGTTCTGCTCCTCTGGGCTGACGTGGGGCCTGGGGTGGACAGCTTTCTGTAGTCCAGCAGTGGGTTCCCTGTCTGCAAAAGGTAAACGCCTCCCGCTGGTTGGTGGGGAGTGGGGAGCAAGGAAGGAGGTTCTGTGGGTGGGGACAAATGGAAAGAAGAAGAGGGGAAGTACGGGAGGTGGCCTGCTGGTGCCAGGTGGACGCATCCTTGGTCTGTGCCCCTGAAGTCTGTCCCCACATCTGGGCAGCTTCATCAGAGCCACCTGGGGCCAGTTCCTCTGGTCTCTGGGGTCATGGGCCTCTTACTGCCTGGCCAGCTGCCCTCTGCCCTTGGCCTCCCTGCTTCTTGTCACCAAGGCTCTCTGACAGGTACCAGCCCCTCTAGAGCTGTGAGGAGTGGCCCTGCCCCTTAAGCTGGATCTGGGCCATGGGCTGACCCCACGGCAGGGCCCCTCATGGCAGCTCTTCTCCCTGGGGAAGCAAGATCCTTCTCTCTGGCAGAGACCCCACAACTGGAACCAAGCTGGGTCCCATCAGCAGCGTCTGTAGGGCCTGGTGTGACACACACGGGCCAGGCAGAGCTTCTCCTTAGATGCTGGTGGAACAGCTGGGAAAGCCAGCAGAGCGCCAGCCCACAGGTGCACAGCTGGGAAGTGCCAGGTCGAAGTCAGGATGGCGTGAGCTCACGGGCTCAGACGCTGTCCCCGGGACTGCAGAGGCCGCACTGAGGCTTCTTTCTCCTTAGCTTTCTGCGGCTTTCGATCAGCTTCCTCACCAGTGCAAGAGGGAGGAGAAACTGCACCCCAGTGGGGAGGTACAAACGCCCCCAGGCCCCTGGGGAGCCGCCCAGGCCACCCTCACCGCCATGCTTCCGCCCAGCCTCAGCCCCACCGCCTTCCCTTGCCTCCCTCAGGCACACACCAAGGCTGAGCATCAAGAAGCCACTCGAAGCCAAGGAGACCAGGAGGGACACTGGGCGAGAGCACCCAGCCTCTGGGGTAGGGCAGGGCCTGCGCTCCCGCACATGCAGCTCCCACGGGGCTCCGGAGCCTCTCGCTCTCCTGGCTGCTTCCCATAGCAATGAGAGCTCAGCACCCTCTCCAGGGAAGGTCCTGGCTGCAGGGCTCCTGGTTTGTGAAATGGGAATGATTCCAGGACCTGCCATGGCGGTAAAGACTTCCTTAGGGAATGTAGACACCTGGGGGTCACCTGGGCCAGGCGGGGGCTGCCACCATCACGTTCTGAGCCCTGCCGTCCACACTGCCATCCAGAGGCCCAGAACTGAGCTGGACGAAGAACCTGCCTGGAGGAATGACCCGGTCTGCTGAGATGAAGAGGGACAGACAGTGACACGGTAACGAACGGGCCTCAGGCCGGGCTAACCCCGAGTCAAGGTTCCTAGGCCCAGGCAGCCGTGCCTGAGACCACACAGAGAGTGGGATCCGGCCGGCTTCCGACACTGCTGGTTAAGGTGCGCCGGCAGCCGCGCCAGGCCCAGGCAGGAAGGAGCAGGCCCGGAGCATGCACTGCACAGGGGTCTATGAGTCACAACATGTGACGCAGCAGAGGGTATGTGGGGGGAGGGGAGGCAAGCGTACACTTGGATCGGGTCGTCAAAGCCTCCCTCTCCTGCAATGACTCAGTGTCTCTGGGTGAAGGAGCAACCTTCTACGGGGGCAGGGTAGGAAACCCCAAGAGCCCAGGGATAGAGGACCCACCATCCCGCTCCGGCCACCATGGGGGCCGAGAGCCCCAGGCACGGGGAAGGGGAGGCTGGCCCCACCTCGGCCACGGTTGCTGCAGCTTCCTGGGTTGCCACAGGCCGTGAAATCCAGGCACCCCTGCTGCACATGGGGGTCATCTAGAGGTTCTCAGCCAAGGCTGCTGACTTCCGTGCCTGCCCCCAATTCTGCAGGTCTGGCATCTGACTTCACCACCAGGCCTTACCATGGGGAGAGCAGGGGACCGAGTGGGGGCTCTGGGAGCCAAGTAAGGAGCCAAGCGAAGCCCTCCACAGCTCGCCCCTCCCCACAGACCCCGTCCAGGCCAGCTTCCCCTGTGCCGCTAAAGCCACGCGCCCTCCCACCATACATGGTGGCGGCAGCCCTCCCGCCTTCCTCAAAGAGGCATGAGCTCCGTCCGGGTCACTGCACCCTCCTCCCCTAGTGACCAGCTTGTCGCCGGTTCCGACCCTATCCCTTCTCCAGAGGTCACCTGGCCCCACCCAGAAGCCCAAACCAGTAGACCGGCCCTGCCCATCACTTTGGTTTCTCCAGCATCCAAAGAACGTGGAGGGTCACCCCCCAAAACAGATGCCAAAGTCCAACAACTAAGTCATCTGTTGCCGCTCCCCGGGACTGGAAGACGTGAGGTCAGTTTCTCGGCCAGTTTCCTGCGTCCAGCCCCCACACCACAAACACCGGTGTGAGCCGGAGCCCCGCGCGCCATGGCGGGAAGGGGGCCGCTACGGGGTTCGGGCAAGGAGAGGGGCGCGGCCGGCGGGCGGAGGGGACGGAGGCGCCGGGATGGCGATCCCGAGGCGCGCAGCCGGGGTGCAGAAAGCCGGAGCGCGCGGGAGGGAGCGGGGAGCCGGGAGCGGGTTGCCGAATTCGGCAGGGGGCGGGGAAGCCCCTGATTGGGGCGCGGGAGGCGTGATGTCACGTCCGGCGGGGGAAGCCCTGCCTCGCGCACCCTCCGCCCCCGTCCCCGCCCCCACAGGTGGTGCCACCGCCCCGGGCGCTGGGCGTGGGGGCCCGCCCTACGGGACCCCGGCCACGGCCCCGCGCTCCCAGGCTGGCTCTGCCGCCTCCCTCCAGGGATCGATAGAGCCGCGCGCCCGGCGCGGCCCTCAGGGCCGGCGAGAGCCGAAGGAGCGCCCGGTGCGCCCCGGCTCGCGCCCCCGCGCCGCGCCCCGCCCCGCCCCGCCCTGCCCGGTGCTCCCAGTCCTTCCCCCGCCCCTGCGCTCCCGCCCCGCCCCTCTCCCGCGGCCGCCGAGGGGCCGGGCCGGCGGCGGGGGAGGCGCCGAGCCGGGACTGCGCTCGCCCGCCGCGCTCTGGGCTGCCCGAACGAGCGGCCGGACCTCGCGCCCCGCGCGCTCCGCGCCACCGCCGCCGCCGGCTTTTGTTGTCTCCGCCTCCTCGGCCGCCGCCGCCTCTGGACCGCGAGCCGCGCGCACCGGGACCTTGGCTCTGCCCTTCGCGGGCGGGAGCTGCGCAGGGCCCGGCCGGGATCCGGGAGAGGCGCGAGTGGGGGCCCGGGGGGGCCGCCGGCCCCGCCATGGAGCTCCGGGCCCGAGGCTGGTGGCTGCTGTGCGCGGCCGCCGCGGTGGTCGCCTGCGCCCGCGGGGACCCGGCCAGCAAGAGCCGGAGCTGCAGCGAGGTCCGCCAGATCTACGGAGCCAAGGGCTTCAGCCTGAGCGACGTGCCCCAGGCGGAGATCTCGGGTGAGTGAGGGCGCGGCACGGGGACCCCGGGCTTCGGGCTCCGGACCTCGGCGCGCCCGGGATCTCCTCTGCGCCCCCCGCTCTCCCTCCTGCTCTTCCCGACACGGTTTCTCGCCCCCGGCTCGGGATCCTGCAGCCTGCGCTCCGCCGCCCGGCCCCGAGTGGCCCCCTGCGCCGCGGCTCCTCCGCAGCCCCACGGCCTTGCCTCTGAGCCCCGCGCCGCCTCCCTCTCCCGGGTCCCCTCCGCTCCGCTCGGGCGTCCCCCCCTCCGCCCCCCGCACGCCGGCCCCTTCCCCGTCGGACCGTTCTGGCCGGGCTGCGGGCCGGGCGGTCCCCGGCTGGCTCGTGGCGCTTCTCCCGGGCCACGGCTGGAGCTGGGCGTCTTCTGCCCGCCGCTCGGCCCAGCGCGCCTGCGGGCCGGGAGTCCAGCCCCCGGGGCGGCTTCGGGGCAGCGGGGAGCCCCTCTCCTCTGTGCAGCCCTCTCTGGGAGGCGTCTCGGTCCCGCCCGGGGATTCTTGTAGGGTCCCCGGCAACCACAGCCTGGGTGGGTTTTATAAGCGGACCCCCTGCCGCGGGGAGGGGGCAGCGCGGAGGGGCGGGGAGGGAGCCGGGCGCTTCTCTGCGGGCGGAACGCCGCCGCCCCGCAGGGATTCCTGCTCGAGAACTTGTGCGCGCCGGCCCCCGCCTGGCACTTGGGCGGCCTCGCGCTGCGAGTCCAGCTGCAGGTGGTCGGCGCGTTGGATCCCGCCCAGGGGCCGTGTCATTTCTTTGTAAGAACAGCGGTCCTCCTGGCGCCCCCTAAGCCCTGCAGCCGCCTGCGGCTCGGCCTCTTCCCTTCCTGTGGCCCGGAGGAGCTCTGGGAACCGGCGGTACCGGTGGCTCAGGGTTCTGAAGACCTCTTGAAGCCCAAGCTTCACTCTCCCACGTGTGGGGACCACCCTGGACCTGTACCCGGTGTCAGGGACCTAGTGGGCAAGAACAGAACAGACCAGATTTCTTCTTGGGGGCGGGCGGGGGGGCTCCTCTGAAACCAAGGAGCGGGAGTGCGGGTGGAGGCCAGTCAGATGGGGACTCGGCGCAGGAATGCCCACGGCCCAGGGATTCTGAGCAAGAAGGAACCGTGCGTCCGGGTGAGGGGGTCTGTGACCGTGCCTTGCTGCGGGGGATGGGGGAGGGCGGGAAGGAGGCAGCCGGACTCTGGACCCCTGCCCCTCCGGGAGGAACAGAACCCACAGACAGCCCCTTGGCGGATTTTCCGATACCCCCAGGCTGAGGTTCTTGTGAGGGAGGACCCCCTGACCCCCTAGGAGGAACAGAAGCAGCAGACAGCTCCTTGGCGGATGTCCCCATGCCCTCCCCCCAGCCTGAGGCTCTGCGAGGACCCCTCCAAAGCCCCAGGACAGGCCTTCCTGTGCCCCTCTTTGCAGAGGCAACCCTTCTATTTCCAGGCTGCCTCCCGCACCCCACTGGGCTCTGTCCCAGGTGGGGGCACACCTGGGTGCCAGGCAGCACAAAGCCCTGGGCACGGTTTTCCCACACACACAGAGGCCTCCCTGGTCTTCCCAGTGAATCCCTCCCTGGGCAGCAGGGTGGCAGGGTGGCTGAGCAGCTGCCCCTCCCAACCAAAGTCCTGAACCCGGCCCTTTTCAGCACCTCCGTGTCCTCTGGGCAATCTCGTCCTTAGGCGCTCGCCTACCCTTGCTTGCGTCCAGAGGCCACTGCTCCCAGTTAGAGACAGAGTGGCCGAGTTTGGCCATCTTCCAAGGGTGAGAAGAGAGGGCCACGCAAGATGAGGAAGCTGAGCACAGACCTTGCGGCCCTTGGGTTGGGGAATGCGGTGGCTGAGGGACCCGGGACAGGCAGATTTGTTGGTTTCTCTGTGTCCGATGGGGGGGCGGTGCTGTCCACCCCTCGTAGGGAGTTTGAACACCCTGCAGCTGTCTAAGCATGATGCTAGCCAGGGGCCTGTGCCTGCTGCCAGGGTCCAGGGCGCCAGCCTGCTGCAGGCCGGGCCTGCACCGGTCAGGGTGAGCACCTCTGCAGCCGGTGCCCTTCCGCCTGGAGCTGCTTCCCCCGGACCCCCTATGGCTGTAGAGGTGGAGAGTCACCTTCGGGGCCCAAGGTACAGAAGGAGTGTGGGAGCCACGTGGGCTGAGGGAAACAGGGTGATCCTCTCTGGCCGCAGCAGCCCTGGCGCTGCCAAGCCCAGTGTCCCCTCCTGCTCTGTTGCTGCGCCTGAGCTCCGAGGGCCGGGCGCCCTCTGGTGGCCCCTGGGTGGCAGACCCTCCCGGGAGCCCCGGACCCTCCGTGGCCTGGTGGGCACCATCCTCAGTCCTCTCCCTCCTGCATCCAGCCTTCTCCAGGGGGACCTCCTCAGAGTGAATGGGGACCCCTGAGGTTGGCACCTTGCTGGCCCAGGGCAGGTGAGGTAGACGTGGTACTGCCTCGTGGGAAGAAGAGCAGGCGGCCCTGAGTGTGTGGCTGCCCTTTCCAGCCTCTGCCCGGGGACCAGAAACGGCCGTGGGCAACAGGAGACTTTGCTCATGAAAGAGGGCGGTGTCGGGACATGTTGGGCTCCCTTTTGAGACCTCCTTTGTCCTCTGGACAGCTGGGCCAGGCTGCGGTGACAGCAGGGGTCATCCCATTTTATGGGCAAGGAAACAGGCCTGGGTGCCAGCAGCTGGACCATGGCACTGCGGGGGGGCACCCGGCCACCTTCCCTTTATGCCAGGGCATGGCACAGAAGGCAAGGGCGAGCTGAGTGGCACTCCGGGCACCCCTGCTCTGCCAGGAGCCCTCATGCTGAATCACCGCCCGCATGCCCGCAGGCCTCCTGCCTTTGCCTGTGAGGTTGCTTCTGGGCATAGGTGTTCCTGGAGCACCTGCCTGGCCTCCTGGTGCCTGATGTGTTGGGCTTTGGGTCTATTTGCTCCTTTGCTGGGGTCCCGGTGCCCTCCCTTGGCGCCTGAGCTCCCTGGTCACTGGGACCACCTCTTTCTGGTTCCCTGTTGCAGCTCCAGAACCAGGCTGGCCCCTAGCCCCCGGGAGCTTCTCAGTGGGCACCCCAGGCCTTCCTGGCTTCACACCCGGCTGTGCTGGGTGAGGAGCGGGATATGGAGGGTGGAGGGGGGTCTCCTTGGAGCAGACACCCCTGTTCTCAGGGTCTCCCAGCCTGAGGCAGAGGAGGAGGGGCCCTAAGGTCCAGTTTTGGGGATGGCGGTCAGAGGGGGCGTGGGACTGTCTATGTCACAGGAACTGCAAGGCCACTCCTGTGCCCCGGGGTGGCAGCCCGCCTACCAGCCAGCGTGGGCCCAGCGTGCCCTGAAGCCTGCACCGAGTACCCACTTGATGGACCCTCCGAAGGAATGAATCTTTTCTTCTCTGTGCCACTGTTGACCACCTGGGTGGTTGGGCACACAGACTCTGGAGGACCATCCTCGGAGGGCCTAGGCCTCCTTCCCACGTCCTGGAACGGACGGGCTTGGCTGGGCCCACAAGAGCCCCCTGGCTCCTCCCAGCCCTGCTCCGGGCCTCTCGGAGGCTGCCAGCACCCACCACTCAGCAGACCACATGGTCCTCAGGCCCCTGTCCTGTCCAGCATGGTTTCTCGGGGGTCCTCAGCCTTTGCTGTGCTGTGGAGCTGCCCCTGTCCTGTCCAGGGGGCTCGGCGTGGTTCCCAGGGGGTCCTCAGCCTTTGCTGTCCTGTTGAGCCGCCCTTCAGGAGGGGAGCTGGGATTTCATCATCCCCGGCGTGAGGACCGAGCGGAGCTCAGGGGAGCCCTGATCCGACAGGGCCACCTGCATGATGCAATGGCCTGGGTCCCTGCTGGACCGCCACGCCTCCCATGCCAGGCAGGCCACTGCGCTCCTCAGGCACAGACGCCGCCACCCTCGTCCCATCCCCAGTCTCCCTGGGCCTGTTCACAGGAGAGAAGAGGAATAATCCCGACCTCCCATGAAGGTGGCCAAGGGAGAAGGTACTGCCAAGCCGCGCCTCGTGGGCCGCCTCCGACCGCGCCCCTCCTCTCCCCGCTCACCCTCTGCGCAGGCCCATGCTCACCCGTCTCGGTGAATGGCGTCTGGTGGCCCAGAACACTCGCTGTGAACCCAGTGTGTGAAGCGCTGCCCGTTACTGTCTGGCTAACACAGCAGATGGAAGGGGTCTTTGTAGGCCCGTTTTACAGATGAATAAACCAAGGCCTGGCGAAGCCCTCTTCTTAGGACTGGATCTGGCTGCGACAGTGACCGCTGCCCACTAAAGCCAGTCCAAGCTGCCCATCCCGGCCCTGTGCTTTCTGGAAGGCTCGTACTTTCCCCCGTCAGCTGTCCTGGCCCCGGGCCAGGCCATCTCTTAGGCCCATGTAGAATGTTTAACCTGGGCTAGGTGCTGAGGCTCACGCCTGTAATCCCAGCACTTTGGGAGGCCGAGGCGGGCGGATCACAAGGTTAAGAGATCGAGACCATCCTGGCCAACATGGTGAAACGCCGCCTCTACTAAAAATACAAAAATTAGCCGGGCACGGTGGTATGTATCTCTAATCCCAACTACTCGGGAGGCTGAGGCAGGAGAATCTCTTGAACGCGGGAGGCAGAGGTTGCAGTGAGCCGAGGTCACACCACTGCACTTCAGCCTGGTGACAGCGCGAGACTCCGTCTCCTAAAAAAACGAAAAAGAACATTTAACTGGGACCCTCCGGGCCTCCCTGCCTCTAGTCCTGCCCAGCTCCTTCTGGCCGTGCTGCCCAGAGAGTCAGCCTTCCACAAAGCCAGGCCTCACCCTCCAGCCTGGCTCTGCTACCTGTCAGGGAAGGGCTGCCACTCCAGCCTGCTAGGAGGGCTGTTCCTGGGCATGCCACAGTTCCCAGCAGGGCAGACCAGCCACCCACACTGGGCCAAATGCCCCAGGATTAGACAGGGACCCCATCCAGGTACCCACCGGTGCCAGGCCAGAGGCACAAGGCAGGCCGGTCCATTGAGGTATACCTTCACACCGGCGGTCA